TGCCTCAGCCTCCTGAGTGCTGGGATTACAGCATGCACCACCACGCCCAGGCTCCTTCCATTTCAAGATAAACTTATCTCCTTAGCTAGCCCACCACTCTCGGCTCAACTAGGCTTAGACAGCGCCTCTGTACATGTTAGACAAAGGCAGCTGCTCTAGGCAATTCCAGTTGAGGCCACGAGCTAGCTGAGCAGAGCCTGGTGGCAGGGATAGAACCCAGGGCCTTACACGAGGTAGGCAGGCGCTGTGCCCCTGACCTTCAGCCCCAGCCCTTTTTAATTTTTGAGACAAACTCTCACTAAGTTGCCTAAATTGGCCTCAAACTTTCGATCCTCCTGCCTAAGCCTGGTGAGTAGCTGAGCCTTCTCACTCTGGAGGATGCACAATCTGGACAACCACTGGGAGCTGGCCTGCTTCCCGAAGGGCCCCTGGAGGACCCTGAGTCTCATGGCTCTTCCATCTTGGTTCCCCCTCCTCCTCCTCAACCCTGAATTGAATGCCCAGCAGCTCTTGGGCCCTGCTGCGGCCCTTCACCGTTGGGCCTCTGACACCCACTCACTTCCGTCTCAGATCTCCCAGCTTCCTCCGGCACCACCTGCTCAGGCCAGCCCTTGGGCATCCTCAGGCCGGGTCGGCCTCCCCTCTCCTGGCTCAACTTCACTGACACTGTTGTTGCTTGATCTGGATGGACGAACCCTCTAGTGAAGGGGCTTAAACTTGGATCCACGGTGCTGGATAGTAGTAGGTGCTCAATAAATGTTACCTGAGCAAAAGAGCAGGCGGAGTGCGAAGAGGGTCAGAGGACCGGCGGGATCCACCGGCTCGCAGTGAGCAGCAGGAGGCGCTCTCCAGGAGTGTGGCCCTGCCCTCTAAGCAGCCCTGGTCCGCAGCAGGACCCGGCTGGGCCGCAGGAGGGAAGGCGAGGAGGCCAGCTCCACCTGAGGCTCCGGGGCAAGAGGGGGAGCAGCGAGCGGTGGAGGGGAGCGGACCTCCCGCCACCCCTTCCATTCTTCCACCCCGGGGTCTCCAGGAATGAAAGCTGCCCCCAGCCAGGCCGGAGCGCGCGGATGAAGGCGGCCCTCGGACCCAGAGAGGAGCCTGCTCCCGCCCCGGCCGCGCGAACTGGCAGCGCCGGGGGTGCCCGGCCAGGCGGGCGTCCCCGGGCGGGACAGGGGCACAGCCTTGGGCCCGAGCCGCTGCTCCCACGGGACCCTCAGCCCTGCGGGCGCCTTCCCAGCCCAGCGAGCGGCCCCGCCCCCGCCCTGGGGTCGGAATCTCGCGTCCCTCCTCGAATCTTCCCCTCTTCTCCCGGCGCCTTGGTATGCACCAGGGGACAGATGTCTTGGGATCTTTAACGTTTGGGATGCTACAAATGCCGAAGTTAAATGAAATACCTCCGGGGAGGGCGGGCCGGGGGGAGGCGCGGGGCGCGGGAAGATGGCCCGGGCCGACAGGTCCTGACGCTGCCGGCCGCGCTCGGGGGGCGCGGGGACAGGCGGGAGGCGCCGGAGCGCCCCGGGACAGGTAAGGGGGCAGCCTCGGGGGCCGGTGCGGCTGAACTAGGGAATCAAGCCCTGAGCCCGCGGTCTGCATCCTCTGCCGATGGGGGTCCTTGTAGAAGGGGGCGGGAATTCTGGGTTCCTACCCTACGTGGACGTTTCCAACTCCTCAGCCTTTCTCCTCCGACCTTCCCCATGCCTGTGCAGCTCCTGGCCAGGTTCCGGGGAGGCAGAGAGCAGCCGAACAAAAGGAGCAAAGTCTCAGGCCGGCCTGGAAGTGGAGGGCGCGGTGGGGGAGGGGAGCGGGGTGGACGGGACAAAGGGGCTTTTATGGAGAGAGCCTAGAGGTCTGGTTTCAGGGCGCATTCCAGGCCAGCCGGGATTCCCCTGGCCCGGCCCACCCCGCCGTGGCCCGGTGGCAGCGAACACCTTTCCCAGTGTGCCCGGAGCAGAGGGGAGAAACAAAACAGTCCAGGGAGGGTCTCCTATCCCTCCTGCCTGCAGGGTCCGGGCTAATTCCCTTCCTTCCTTTCCAGTTAGCTCTAGCGGCTGAGCGTTTACTAGTTCATTCATTAGGTGGAATTGTAGGCCTGTCGGAGACTGTACTTTGCTGGACGAAGTTGGGGTCACGGAGATGATCGTGTGAGCTGCCCGGTTTAAAGAAGTTCGGATAAACGTAAAAGAAGAAACTTTGAAAAAAAAAATGAGAGAATGGTTGGTTGCACAGGGCTGTGGAAAAGCTTTCCGGTTCAGGACTCTTTCTTAGGAAATGAAAACCCCCAAAAAGGAGAGGGCGTTTTTTTCTCTTCTTGGGGAAGGCCTCTTATTCCCCAAGGTCACATTCCAATCACCTCTGTATTGTGCAAAGAAACCCCACTGCCTCACCTGCTGGCGGCCTGGGCATGGTGCTCTGCGATTTGGGGCTGCAGCGAAACTTCCAGGGCAGCCTCTGAAGTGCCCACTTCTCCCTTGGCATTTTGAGTTAGATGCCATGTAATCAGCTAGATCCACCGGGCCCTGTCTGGGATTCTCTGGGAGGGTGGGTTTGCCAGCCACGTGCCAGACCTTAGATTCTGCTAGGTTGGGAAATGCTGGCTGCGAACTGGGGTCAGTGAAATGTCTCTGAGAATTCCTGGGGCCCAGGGCAAGTAGGTTGATTTCTCTCCTGTTACGGAGGAAAAGCTCCTGCTCAGCACAGGTAGAAGCAGATACTATGACCCTGGGTTTTTGCCAAAAGAAAAAAAAAAGCCCAAAAAGCTTTATTGTGCAACCAACCGGCAAGGAGACTGGGAGTTCTAAGCTCAAATCTGCCACAGCGATCAGTTGCAGTATTGGGTTGTAGAAAGGGACAAGGGGAGGTTGCTAGGTCTGGGGTGGTTGGCTCTTTCCAGGCCACGTGCTTCCTTTTAGGGGAAGTTGAGTCTGTGCTGGGGACTTGGAGCTTCTGACATCGTGGACAGGATGACCTGGCCTCTTCTCCGAACGTCCATTCTTGAAAAGCCAGTTAGTTCCAAAGTAGATGGATCACTAGTGAAAGGCTTGCAGGCTTTCCCCAGAAGATAATTCAAGTTAAGGAATTTGTGTCCAGGTGTGTCTAGGCCTTGGTTGATTCACTTCTCCCCTGCACCTAGATAGGGGTTACCTGAGGGCAGAAGTTCTAAAAAGTTTACGGGCATGTGCGGATAGGATTTGGAGAGGGTTTGTAAACTTAGGAGAGTGGGAACTTGCATCTTTAGTTTTTCACCACCATTTATCAGAAATTTAACATCACTTTGAAATGTAAAAGCAGCAGACCACAGAAGCATTGGTAATACCTGTGACTGCCATTGATAAAATTCAATTTCATGTCACATTGCAGTTGTAGCGCCTACCTTGAAATATTGTTTACGCTCATCACTTGTGTGCACTTTCCTACTGCTGGATCCTATTTAATGCTAATAAGGAAGTATATATGTTGCCATGTCTTTCTGGTTTTGGAACTGTGTTGCAATATAATTGATTCTCCTAGTGATCCTTTTAATTTTATTTTATGTGCTTAAAAACGTGAGTTATGAGCTGATTCTAGAAAATCCCACCCCTCCCCACTTGGAGCTAAGAGCGGGGCAAGGCCAGGAAAGGCTGCTTTTCCCCAAAGTCGTCCCCTGTCTGGCCGACCCTGGATGAAAGTGCAGACCTGCAGGGGGTAGGAGGGACTGCTGCACTGCGGGGGCGGGGGAAGGGAAGGGCTTCGGGTTCTTTGGGAGCCCCAGAAAGCTTGCTCCCCGCCAGGGCAGGGACTGCCCCTTGTGGGGGCCCCTCGGCCTCAGGCTGGGGAGAGGAGAAGGTGGTCAGCCCCAGGCTCCGGGCTAGCATTGTTTGGAAAGAGGGTGTGGACCAGAACTGTGCCTGCCAAGGGGAAGTGACCACTGGGGCAGCTCTGGATCCCACAGTTGGCCACCGGCTTGAGGATCTCTTTCGGGGGTGGGAGGTGGGGGGGTTATTGTTTTGTAGGGAACGGATTCCATTTCGGCCTCTGGTCCCTTGCATTTGGGGAGTGGCCTAAGGGCTAGAATCCCACGGGGACCCTTCTGCAGAATGAGGGACAGGACGGGGCCCAGGTCAGTGCCCCAGGGACGTGCTGCTGGGAGGTGGAGTTAAATTATGAACGGGGCCGTGAAGGCCTTATGCTGCGGTGTGAGCAAAAGTGTGGGATAAAAAGAGAATGCTGGGGGGAAGTGGCAGCTGCGGGGGCCACTTGCTTCATCCTCACTAAAGAAAAAGGGAAGGGGAGAGCGAGAGAACGGGCCTGGTCCTCCCACTCCACCACCCACCGAGGATGTGCGCCCTTCTGCAAATGCAATTCCAACCTGAGGGGGTTTTGTTTATTTTACTGGGTTGTTTTGTTTGGGGCTGGAAGTTAAACCCGGAGCCTTGGGTTTGCACTCTGCCATTGAGCTATGCCTTGAGCAGATTTTTCCTTCTCTTTTTGTTTTGAGAAGGGAGATTGATCTCTTAATTCCTGGGCCCAAGTGATCCTCCTGCCTCAGCCTCCTGAGTAGCTGGGACTACCAGTGTGCCCCTCCTACCCCCTAGTGTGAGGTTTTGAAATCCTGATGTGGGAGACACAAAATTCAGGCCTTGGTCTCCACTTCAGTGTCTGGGGCACAGCAAAGACCCTCTGCATGGAGTGTGTAACTTCCTGCCAGTAACCCCATGCACAGTGGACGTCTTACCTGTTTGGGGGACTTGGCGGTCCTCGGTTTCTGGAAAGGGAGACTTGGAGCCAAGGAAGGCAGGGAGAGCCAGGCAGAAAAGGAGGGCACTGTGGCACCTCACAGCCCTGAGCAGTGCGCTAGGGTCCCTTTGAGGAGTGCCCCAGGTTGCTGGCTGGGATTTCTCCTTGGGGAGCCCCCTTTCCCTGCTCCCCTCTGGCCCGGAAGTGCAGAGGCCCAGGAGCTGCCTGCCGGCAACAGTCAGCAGTCAGGATTAGTTCAGGGAAGGGCTTGCTCACCTGCTCCTCCCCTCTGACTCAAGTCGGAACAAGTAATCTGGTTCCCCTGGCCCAGCAGCCTGGGAGGGACGGCCAGAGGGGCAGCCAGCAGCGCAGGAGCTGGAACAGTCAGAGTGAGAGCACAGGTGGCCTGGCCGGCCAGCAGCCCAGGAGGCTTAGAGGCAGCATGCAAGGCCCCTAGACTCCTGACCTGGGCACAGGGGTTTCTTTTCTGATCTCCTGGACTAAAACCCCAAAGCAGGTGAGGGCGGGGTGGGGCAGGGGAGAGCGGGGCTTGGGGGCTTGGGGCAGGCTGGCCTGCCAGGGGAGGGAGCTTGGCTGTGGCCGCCTCCAGCTGCTGCCCAGGTCTGGTCTGGGGCGCAGGGATAACAGGGGGCTGGGGAGCTCCAGCAAGGAGCCTGCCCATGGGCCCGGGCTGTAATCTCCACTGGAGAAAGGGCCAGCAGAGATGAGCTGGAGCGAAGAGCCCCAAGGGCTGACTTCGGGGGTTCATTTGTGATGGGGAGGGTCCCGATGGCCGGGCTAAGAGTGCCACAGTGTTGCCCCTCCTGTCTTCTTTCCTCTGCCTCTTCCTGGGGACTGTTCATTCCGCATGGTGGACTGCTTCCTAGGGCTCAGTGCTGGGGCTGGCCCAGAGGGACTGCGAGTGGGAAGACCAGGAGGGATTCCAGGGTAGGGGAGGCGGTGGGGTTGTTGCTGAGCTGCCTTTATCTAGAGCAATGCTTTAGACACCCAAGATGCCCCCCTTTCCGTGGGTGTGGATTCAGGTCTGCTCCAGTGGACTTGGGCAGCTTCTCCAGCTCTGCAGGGCAGGTGCCTGGGGTCTGCTCCCTGACTGTGTCCTGACAAGAGGCCCTGATTCACCCTTGGGAGCTGGAAAGGGCTACCTCCCCCCCCCCATCTTTGACTTTCCTCAGGTAATATAGGTGGTGGAACAACTGAGCCTCACTTAGAGCCACAAGTTCCGGGGTCAGATTGGGACCCCTATGAATGTCAGGGCCTCCCCCTTGACAGTGGGGTAGTGGGGGACTGGGTCAGTCTGGGAAAGGGGAAGCTGCAGGAGAGAGAGGGCCTGCTAAGGGATCCCCCTAGTTCCCAGAAGTCCCCACTCCAGGGCCTGAGTTGTCCCAACTTTTCAAGGTAGCTCCTTAGTGGTTAATAATTAATTGGCAAATGTGACTAATTAATGGCTTCAACTCTGATGTTACCTCCTCCCTTTGTCCAAAGCCAAAAGGCTCAGGGTGCCAGCTGAGAGTCCATCCTGCTCCCTAGTTCCAGCTGGACCCTTCAGCCTTTTGAGGAGGATGACAGCGTGGCCAAGCTTGGGGAAAGGCTGAGGGGTAAGGGTTTGGGACAGATGAACAGTGCAAAGCTAAAAACAGTCACCCTGAATTCCTGGGGTTACTGAAACGTACGGCCACTGTTTCTGTGGAGTGTTTGTAAAGGCCTCATATAAACTTTAAAAAAAAAATTCAACCATGCACTGTTTGGACTTCCTTGGAAATTGAAATTGCAAAGTGCAAGGAACATTTGTCTTCAGGGCTATGGTTTTAATTGCTGCTGCCCATGGGACCCTGATAAGCTGGGCTATTTACACAGGTCGGTAAAAGCACCATTGCTCCTTCCCTTGAGGGAGGTACCGCACTCCTAGGGACAGGCTGACCGAAGTCCCCTCTCTATCCGCCTTGGTTTGTGGCCAGCTTTCCCAGGCCTACTCTTCTGTCCTGTTAGTTGCTCGTGAGGGTTAGTGGGAATCTCCACCCACACTGTGGACTTGTGCTCTGAGAAGGCAGCAGGATAAGCTCCAGACAGAAACTCGGAAGGACTTTTGGACTCTTGCTCAATGGCTGACTCAGTGAGGAGGTGGCTGGCCTCTCCTTCCAGACCTCCGCCTGGGCTCCGCCCGCTTCCCCACCCCTTTCCAGCCAGGGGCTGCCAGGCCCTGGCCAGCTGGGACCCTGACCTGGGCTGGTGGCTCAAAGTAGTCTCAGGAGCCACTGTCTGGCATCAAGTGGCCACACCTGCCTAGAGGATCTAGCCCAGAGAGGGGGATCCCTGGACTCTGGTGGCCCTTGGACAAGGTCTTGGGCTGGTGCCCATGTCCAGCTACTTCAAGTGCTCACACCGCTGGGGCAGTAGGACATGATGGGGCTGAGGACAGCTGTGCCCAAGAAGACTTCTTCCTCTACCTCCTGGCTTTCTCACCCGTTCTGTCTTCCTGCTCCTCTCCTTCCATCCTTCTGTCTTCCAGTCTACCTCTAAGCTGTTTGGAACCAAAGGGGTCGACATAGAGCTTTTTGGTTATTATTCTCTTTTCTCTTCAAAGCTGGGAGGACTCCAGGCTACCTACACATCCTGGCCCAGGCTGGGACCAGCACCACCCCGCCCTGCTCTGCTCCCCCTCCTGCCCGAAATCCACCATGGAGAGTAAGGATGAGGTCAGCGACACTGACAGTGGCATCATCCTGCAGTCTGGTGAGTGGTCGGGAAATCCCAGTGCCCCCGCCCGCTGCCCCCAGGCCCTGCGGCCAAAGCCCAAGGAGGGAGGGGAAAAGAGGCCTCTGCTGGGGGAAGCAGGGAGCTACCGAGGGCCTCAGGGATGCGAGGTTTCCCTCCTTGGAGGGTCTGGCTGGAGTTTGGTCCTATATGAATGGGATCTGAGTGTTCAACTTTAGCTCCAGTGATTGCTAAGAAGTCAAAAAAGCTTATCTGGCAAGTGTTAAGGGCCTGTGTCTGGCTGAAACAAACTGGTGGGTCTAGTCTGCCCTAGTCTTGATAAGAGGACCAGAGAGGCCAGCAGCCCTTACCCCACCACAGGTCAGCAGGTGGGGCAGCCCTTCCTGGGAGCTGTCATGTTGCCACTGCTGGGCGGCCAGTAGACTGGGGTTTGTGGTTATGCTACAGGCCACAGCAGCTAGTCTGTAATTTGTGAGCAGGCATGGGGCTGTGTGTATGGATGTATACTCCCCTGAAGGTGGTCAGAACCTTCCCTAAGGTGTCCTGCTTCAGCATCCCTGAGCATGTGCCCCTTGCCCTCCCACAGGCCCTGACAGCCCGGTCTCCCCAATGAAGGAGTTGACCCACGCGGTGCGAAAGCAGCAGCGGGCTCTGGAAGCTCGGCTGGAGGCCTGCCTGGAGGAGCTTCGGAGACTCTGCCTGCGGGAGGCGGTGGGTGAGGCCTGGGCGGCCCCTGCCCCACACACTCCTACACACCTGGAGCTGATTTGGGGATATTAGGGCTGAGGGTGGTATCCCCATTCTTAAGGGAATTCTGGAAATCAGACCAGTGCTGGGCCTTGGGTCCCTCTGATTCAGCGTTTGACCTGGTGCTGGACAGGCAGCTGTGGAGACTAAAGTGCATCTGAGGGTTGGAGCTGGGATTCTGTAGCCCTCTGGAGGAAGTGATCAGAAGATGTGAAGGAAACGGGGAGGGAGGCGGAGTGTGCCCAAGGATGGGAATGAGAAGATAAATGAAGGATGATAGGATGGCCAGGGCACGGGTGGCCAGCTGTCCCAGATGCCTCTGGGGAAGGGCGGACCTGTGCAGTGCAGGCCTGGTGGTGGGCTACCGGATGTCAGCCAGAGGCTGGGCAGGAGGAGAATCGCCGGCTTGACTGCTCCCCCACAGGAGCTGACGGGCATCTTGCCAGAAGAATTTCCCCTCAAACCAGGAGAAAAGGCCCCCAAAGTCCGCCGCAGGATTGGGGCAGCTTACAAGCTGGACGAGTGGGCCTTGCACAGAGAGGTGAGGCATTTGGGAGGCCACCACTGTCCCTCAGGGCCCAAGGCTGACCTCGGAGGTGCTCCAGGGTGCTTCCCGTGGGTGGCCACGTGGCTGGGGGAGTGTGCCACCTCAGGAGTGGGGCTGGGCACTCAAGGGAGGATGCTGGCTTTGTCCCCATGGGCAGAGGATCAATTAAGAGCTCCAGCCACCACCCGGAGAGGCAGGTTAGTGCGTCCCTGGGGCTGTCCTCTCCCTCAGCCCAGGAGGAAGGCGGCAGGGGCGGCTTGGCCTGCCCTTCCCCTCGGTGGGAATGGTGCAGGCTCACAAGGGCTGGCCTGCCCAACCCTTTGGGGTCAGGAGGGAAAGTGTACTGCTTGGGTTCCCACCCAGCCCCGCTGGGCAGGCAGGCTAGGGGTGGGTGCCCATGCCAGCTTCTACCCGGCAAGTTGTCTGTCTCTCAGCCCCTCCCGCCACACCAGCCATGGGCCAGCGGCCCCTGAGAGCCTGCCCTGTCCCCAGACTCACTCCCAGCCCTCCTCAGGACCCCCTGAGCAGCCTGGAAAGCCAGCTGGCCCTGCAGCTGCAGATAACCGAGGCTGCTCGGCGGCTGTGCGCGGAGGAGAATCTCAGCAGGCAGACGCGCCGGCAGCGGAAGCACGCGGCGCTGCAGGAGGAGAAGAAGCTGCGGGAGCTGCAGCGCAGCCTGGGCGAGCGGCTGCGCAACAGTGAGCCCCCTCCCGCCACCGCTGCCCACTTGCTGGGCCAAGGTGAGGCCCGCGGCCTGCACCGCGCACAACGCGTGTGGGGTGGTGGTCAGCGTGGCTTGGTGCCCCTGCGCACCTGGCACTGCATTCAGTGCTCCACCAGCGGGGCAGACCTGCTTCCTGGGCCCACCTCGACCCTTCGTTGCCCTCTGCAGCCCCAGCAAGGCTTCTTCATCCTGGAAGTTCCCACTTCCCCCCTGCATGCTCGGCAAAGGCTTCAGAAGACTCTAAACCAGGGGTGGTGGTCCCCACCAGAAATCCTAATACTCTGGGAGGCTGAGACAGGAGGATTACAAGTTCCAATCCAGCCAGGACAATTTGTCAAATTGGCAAGACCCTGTCTCAAAAAAGAAGAGAGAGAGAGAGTGAGAGTGAGTTGGGGGTGTAGATCCAGAGGAAGGCCTGAGGTTAATCCCCCGTACTGGGGGTGAGGGGTAGAAGACTTCCTAGACAGGAAGGCTGACCCTGAGCTTAATCCAAGGATTTATTCAGCCAGAGTATCCAGAGCCCACAGGGCGGCAGCTTTTCTGGGGCAGGGTACTGGAATGAACCTGAGACTCTGAAGTGATTCACTTTCCCCTGGCTCCAGTTCCGCAGTGCAGGGACGACCATTGCTGAGTAGCTGGTCAGAGCGCTGTTTCAGGGCCATACTACTTGGTACTCACAGGATGTCTGGGCTGGAGTTCAGCCCCTCGGGTGCCGAGCCCGCAATCCCTTCAGTATCTACAAGTGGCCTGTCAGGAGGGGAGTCCACATCTGTTCTCTGCCTTGTTGTGCCTGTGGTTCAGTCCCTGACCCCTGGCCCCTCCAGGTGGCTGTCGGGCACCTAGTGAACTGTCAGTCTCAGGAGCCTGAATGTGACTTAAGCATGTCCAGTCTGGGTCAGCATCCTGTCGGGGGATTTGAACCCCAAGGTGTGATTATTTTGTTTGTCCCGACCCACATTCAGCTTGTCAGGTCTCGACTTGCAGACTTCCATTCCAGTCCCCACCCCCAGGCCTTGCTCATGGCTCCGAGGCCTCCCTGGCTGCATCTGTGGGAAGAGGAGCAGGCAAGGGGACAGCAGCCCTGGGGCAGAGCTGGATCCCAGGCCTTGGGCCCGGCTTAGCAAGTGATTGCAATCCCTGCACCTCAGCTTGGCTTGTCACACTGTTGCTGTCCTTCCCTACTGGGACACTCAGGGGGAAGCCCAATGGCCCTCCCTGGCCCCCATGCTCCATGGCCAGTGAGGCAGGCAGATACCTCAGCATCTGCGCCCACCTGTGCCCTTTTATTTATGGTAGAATGTCTCACCAGACACCAGCCATGTGTAGATGACAAAGAAGGAGGGGCTTCTATGTGACAGTTGATCAGTAAACCCAGAAGAGCATTGGGCTGATCCAGGAGTGAGTGGCCAGATGTCTCTCTGGCTGAGTGCCTCTGGCCTGCCCTGGCTACAGGACAATGCTCCTGGCCCTCAAACCTCTTAGGGAAAAGACATTCTCCATTCCCACGCCACTCCCTGCAGGCCCCTGGCATGGACCTTCCTGGGAAAAGCAGCTCTGCCCTGGGCATGGAAGTCCCCAAGGGCCAACTTGCTCTGTGCTTGTGGGGAGCCATCCGGATGATGAGATGTGCCCTGTCCCAGTAGGTTTCAGTCCCTCTGTCCCCTCCAGCCTTGTACTGCTCAGCAGCCCCTGCCTACAGGCACTGCAGTCGCTGGGAGCTTTTGTCCAGGCCTGGGCTGGCAGTGAGATGTCACTCTGCTGCCGCCACTGTGACCCATGACGCTGCTTGTTGGGAGTGGAGAGCAGGCCGGGACATGCCTCAGGCTCTGGCTTAACCCTCTGTGGGAGGCAGGAGGCTGAGGTTCTGAAACCTTCTCAGGGCACTCTGCCCAGGAGAAATCGAGATGGGCAGGGGAAAGAGCTGATGCAGCTGCTGCCTTGGCCAACTCTGGCATGGACCCTGCTCCTAGACTTAGCCCTGCTCTTCACATGGGCCAAGGTCCTGGGTTCTAATGCCTGGCCTTGGGAGCTCTGGAGCAGGCAGATCTGACGGGTGATTCCTCTTTTGTGGCTTCTCTGCCAAGCTGTGCTCATTCAGAAAGAAAGAAGTAGAGAAGGATGGATAATTAGTAGCTGAAAGGTGTTTTGAATTCAAGAGGAAAAAATAAGCAAATGAACCAAGAAACAAAAGCCCACCCCATGCCCTAGATCTTCCCACAAGAGCTATTCAATTTGGGGAAGTGATTATGCCAGGTGAGAGTAATTAGCCAGACTCTGCAGGTGGCAAGGAGCAGTCAGGTGTTGAACCAATTTACTGTGGGTGAACCTGATGAGAGCCACCCCCAGCACATGCCTCTGTGATGGAACAGGTGCTCAGTGTGTGTTTGTTGATTGACAGTACCAGTCTTTAGCAACACTGTCCATTAGCATTTCAGCTATTGTTCCCTATCTGTGCTGTCCAGTGTGGAAGCCACTGGCCTCAGGTGGCTACGGAGCATCTGATCTGTGCCTAGTGCAACTGAGGAACTGAACTTTAAACTTGGTTTCATTTTAATGAATATAGTCTCATGTGGTGGTGTCTACCATGTTGGACAGTATAGCTTTGAGAATGCTGAGTTGGTAGGTATTGTCTCCACCCGGGGCGTGCTGCTTCAGCATGCTGGATGGAGGCCAGGGCTGGGTCAGGACATGGGGCCTGAGACAGTGACAGCCCTCAGGAGCCACCTGCATCGGGACAGATCAGCATGCTGTGCCAGCTCCCCCTCTGTGAAGGCCATGTGTCTCTAGATTCTCCTCTTTGCGTTGTGCCTTTTGGCCTCCAAAACAGACCTGGCTGATTACATGAAGGTTACGGTGACAGGGAAGGACTGGGGTGGGTCCCAGACCCGTGTTCTCACCAAAGCACACCTGTTGTACCTAGGCTGCACTGCTGGTCCACGAGTAACAGTTCCATCATTTTTTCAACTTGAGATGTGCAAAAAATAAAAATCTTAATTTTATGGTAAAGACTAGAGGCAGGGAACCAGAATTCAATAAGAGGGTGTCACCTCCACTGAACCCTAAAGCAAAGGCTAGCTGGGGGCCAGGCAAAGCCAGGGCTGGCTGGCTGTTCTCATGTTAGGCCCAGCTCCCTGAACCATATTCCTATAGAGTGGAACTGCTCTGGGTAAAGTTTTTATTTCATTTCAGTTACCAATCAAATGTTGGCAAGTATTTCCAATTTGCCAAAAAGCCAGATAGTAAATGCATTAGGCTTTGTGGATCATGTGATCTCATCACAAGTCTGCCATTTTAGACGCTTAGACAGCCAGACATTAGGTAAATGAATCTGCAGCTGTGTTCCAATAAAATTTTATTTGTAAAAACAGCTGGTGAACTACATTCAGCCCATGGGCTGTAGCTTACCAACCCCTTTTATAAAGGTTTTGAGATAGCTGGAACTGTTTACTTTTCTTAGAACTTTCTGACAATGACCTATGCACTAGATACTGGCTAACAGCAGAGCCAATGAAAGGTAGGCTTAAGAGCCTGGACCCTTGTTAGGCTTTCTGTGTGAACTCTGACTCACCCATCCTTTGGTGGATTGAGCCAAACGTTACTCCTGAGACTTGGTTTCCTCAACCTTGGTACATGGAGAGGATAGTAACTACTTTACATGGTTATGAGAATTACATGAAACAGTTGTAGAGAGTACATAGCAAAGTATTGGCATTGTAGAAGTATCAGCCATGACTCCTTTTCCTCACTTCCGTTGTTAAACATTTAAAAATGCTTTGTGAGTTCCATTCGGGTCATATCAGGCTTGTTCTCAAGATCTTTCCTAGGAGGCAGCTCCTGCTGTTCCATGCAGAAATGCCACACTCCCTTTCCTCCAGGTGACTTGCCTTGTCACCAGTTGAAGACTCCTCCTTAGGGCTGGCTGGCCAGATGTTAATTTAAATTGGCCCGATTCCCACTGCTGACTCCCACCTCTCACTGTTCTTGTTGCTGGCAGTGCAGGAGTTCCTAGATGGAGTTCAGTTGTACTTACGATGTTAGAAGACTCTAGAAAAGTTGACAACATTCATTTCATCCCAGGTGTCTTCCCAAATGGCTCTTCGCCTTTCCCTTCTCTTATCAAGAAGCCTTAGCTTATTTTGACAGATGGGGAAACTGAGGTCCAGAGCCCGGAAATAGTTTATTCAAAGTTACATGGCTAATGACAGAGCCAAGATTAAAATCATGTTTTTTGTCTCCTAGTTCTTGACTTCTTTTTTTTTTCTGGTACCAGGGATCAAACTCAGGACCTGGGGCCTGCCAGGCAGGTACTGTGCTGTAGAGCTATATCCTCGGCCTTCGTAGTCCTTGACTTCTGATTTTCTTTTTCCTACATCTCAGTTCAGGAGAGAGTATTTAGCACACAGTGGGTATTTCCTGTAGTAGCGCTGTCCTGGAGATGTGTGGGCTGGGGTTGCTCACTACTGCTGGTTACTCGTGTCTATGGGTTAATGTCCTCACCTCTTCCTCTTCTCTGCCCTCTGACTTCCCCAGAGCTCAGTGCCTCCGATGACAGCTCCCTGTCCGATGGCCTACTTCTGGAGGAAGGTGAGAGGGATGATTGGGAACTACAGTTAAGGCTGGGTTCCTCCTGCAAGAACTTGGGGCTTTGGCAGAGTTTGGTAGTGAGGATGTCAAACAGGGAGGGGAAGGTTTAGTGAGCTCACGAAGGAAAAGGTACCAGCCCGGCGTTTCATGCAGACTTGGTATCGCTTTCCTCTGCACATGCTCAGTTGAGGGTGCGGATGTGCCGACTGTCTCTCATTCTAGAAGTTTTACTGTTTTGATGAGGAAAAGAAAGGTGAATTCCAGCAGGGTCTATAAGCCCTGGCTGTCCTTCTACCCTGGGGCTTTATTTCAGGTTGAACCAGCCAGAGCCTTTGAGCCATCTGTTCACAATCATTATCAGTTTTGAAAAGAAGGTAGCACTGGGGAGCAAACAGGACTCTATGAATTGAGAACCCGTACACTGCCCAGCATGGTGGTGCATGCCTGTAATCCCAACACTCGGGAGGCTGATACAGGAGGATCGCCATGAGTTTGAGGCCAGCCTGGGCTACATAGTGAGGCCCTATGTAACAAACAGACAACAACCAAAGAACCCCACTGTACACCAATGCTAAGGATGTCAGGGTGAGGGTGGGTTGAGGAGGTGTTGCAGTCCTGCCCCAGAAAGTGCCCAGGTCAGTAGGAAAGTAGGGCACATGGGCATGCCAGGAAGAAGAAAAACGTAAATGGAGGCTGGCTGCAGACATGGCACCAAGAGCAAAGGTTAGAAGTGGAGTAATATGAGCCAAGGAAGTCAACCTGGGGAGGCTTCTCGAAGGAGGCAGGAGTAAAGTCGACCTGTGGGAGGGAGGGGGTCCCAAAAGAGAAAAAGCAATTCTAGTATCTGGACCTGGAGCGACGGCTGGGAGCAGTGGGGCAAGCCAGACATGGGAGGGAGAAGGCAGAGGCAGCAGAGGTTGTTGGGCTGGCTCCCCAGCCTCGGTCCTTACCAGGTTTCTTTTACCCCTGCAGAGGACTCTCAAACACCAAAACCTCCCCCGGAGTCCCCAGCCCTGCCTTCCCGGCCTCTCCCACCCCAGAGCCTTGAGGGGTTGCCGCCAGCAGGACCCAAGCCTGGGGCCCTGGAGCGAGCACCCATCCAGAGCAGTCCTTGGAAGGAGACCAGCCTCGACCACCCCTATGAGAAGTCTAGGAAGTCTTCGGAGCCCAGCAGCGAGTCCAGGTCAGGGAGGGAGGGAGGGCAGGAGCAGGCGGGGCCTCAGCTGGGCAGGAGGAAAAGGGGGAAGGTGGAGATCAGGGTGTCCTTAGCTGGGTGACAGCAGAGATTGACCACTGGCAGCTCCCCAAGGGTGCTGGTAGTTTGTACCCTACCTTGGAGGCCCCTTTCACTGTGCCCTCACCTTTCTGCACTTCATGATGCCCTAGGTGGAGACATTCCTGTCACTTACTTCTCTCCAATCCCTCTGCAGTAGCCTGGCCACCACACCCCAGGACGAGCCCAGTGCCTCCAGCCTGTGGCTGCTGGAGCCAGCCTCCTACCATGTGGTGCCCATCCGAAGTGTCCCAGGACAGCAGCAGGGTCGCACCAGCGCCCCGGCCACCCCCGAGATGCAGGGCAGGCGGGGCCAGTCGCAGTCTCTCAGGTAAGAGAGCCTACCCCGGAGAGGCAGGGACACCCACCACTAGTGCTACAGTGGAAGGGCGGACGCTTCCAGGAAACGGGAACACTCTGGGTGTTATGGGACCTACCTTATAATCTCAATATGTGGGAGGCTGAGGCAGGAGGATAGCACGTTTGAGGCCAGTCTCGACAGTTTAGTGAGACCCTGTTTCAAAATAAAATTTTGTAAAAAAGAAAGTTGGGGATGTATCTCAGTGGTTAGAGCACTTGGCTAGGAGGCCCCAGTACCACACACACATGAATAGACACATAAGATTACTCTCGGGGCCATTTTACATAGTACAATCAGCAAAAGCACAAAAATATAGAAAAGATTTTTTTTTTAAGGTGTACTAAGAAATAACACAAAAATGACCCTTGTTTCCGGTCTTGAGATCTGAAACAAGAAGGCAGAGCTTAACCTTGTTCTACCTCAGCTAGTGATGTGTACTTAAAGCAACTCAAATTTTTTGATATTCTGGCAATGTTCTCAAGTGATCATGACTACACTGTGTATATTGATTTTGGAATTAGCAAATAGGTTTTAGCAAGGTTTTAGGCAAATATGAAAATACTGAATCTACCAATAATGAGAATTGCCTTTATGTTCTTTGCCAAATTCCCTGCTACCTGGGAATAGGGTGAGCCATGACAGGCAGCATTAGCCACACCACATGGGGGCCCGGGGCACCATCAGAGCCTCTCCAGGTTGCTCATGGGGCAGCACTGGGCTGGGTGCTGCATGGGACAGTTGCTCTCAAGTAGAGCGATGCATTTTCTATTTTATCTATGACCAGGGTCATTTTATAAACAGTGCCTTTGTGCAGATTAGCAAAAGGCCTAGTGTTCAAGCCTCATGCCTGGGTGTGTAGCGGGGTTAGATTTCCACCCCATCTGGTCCTGGGCTGCCTAGAGCTGCCCTCACAACCATGAGATGGCTTTTCACGTTCAAGTTCAACTCCTGACAGTGTGTGCCTGAACAGATTCCATGGATGAGATGCCACTGAACACAGTAGACCACAGAACTGACTGAAAATACGTGACACAGCTGTAGCATAGTGTTGGCTTTCCATATCTCTGGGCTCCACATCTTTGAGTTCAACCAACTGAAGATCAAAACTTCGATTTTTAAAAAAATTGCATCTGTACTGGACATTTTTTAATACAGACTTCCTTTTTTTTTTTTTTTTTTGGCAATGCTGGAATCTAACCAGGGCCTTATGCATACTGGACAAACACTGTACCTCCAAGCCATGCCCTCAGCCTATCAGACACTATTTTGCTTATCATTATTCCCTAAATATACAGTAATAAGGACTAAACATACAGTATAAACACATTTACACTGTGTTAAATGTTCTAAGTACTCTGCAGAGAGTATACAGGAGGGTGTGTGTAGGTTATGTATAAATACTATACCATTTCCTACCAGGAACTTGAGCACCTGTGGATTTTGGTATCCATGGGGCTGCTAGAACCAACCCCCACCAAGGGTCAGCTCTTGCTTTCCCTTTGTCCCGACGTGGAAAAGCCTGGGAAGGGACTCCACACCGAGGAATATGCTGTCTGCACGGCACCCCGGGTGGGGGTTCCTCCATTTGCTCTGGAGGTTTGAACTAAGCCTGGCGTAGGCCTAATGCCTGACCTGCAGGTGGGGCGCTGCTGCTCCAGCGTTGCTCCCGGCCCGGCCCCACTCAGAGCGCCTCCCTTCCCCGCAGGGTGGACTCCTTCCGGGCCGGGGCAGAGGGCCGAGGACGCAGCGCCTTCCCCCGCCGCCGCCCCACGCACTACACCGTGACGGTGCCAGACTCCTGCTTCCCCGCCAGCAAGCCCCCGCTGCCCCCCGCTGCCTGCCACTCCTGCTCAGAAGACAGCGGCTCCGATGTCTCCAGCATCTCCCACCCCACCTCGCCGGGCAGCAGCAGCCCCGACATTTCCTTTCTGCGGCCTCTCTGTTTCCCTGAGCCGCTTCGCCACCACGGGGCCTGGGGCCCGGCCACAGGCCGAGAGCTGGTTGCCCACCACCCCAAGCTGCTGTTGCCGGCTGGGTACTTCCCGGCCGGGCGCTACGTGATGGTGGCAGAGAGCCACCTGCCGCCGGGCGAGTGGGAGCTGTGCCACGCGGGCCTGGGCCCTGTGCGCGCCGAGGAGGGCGCGCCCCTGTGCTACCAGCGGCTCGTGCCCGCGCACAGCCGCGTGGTGCGGACGCCGTCGCTGAAGGACAGTCCCACGGGCCGAGCGCTCACCAAGGCCGCTGTCTCCGAGGAGCTGCGCTGGTGGCACGAGCGCGCGCGCCTTCGCAGCAGCCGCCCACACTCGCTGGACCGCCAAGGAGCTTTCCGGGTGCGGAGCCTGCCCCCCGGGAGAGAGGGCTTTGGGCGAGCCCTGGGGCCCCGCGCACAGGTGAGCAACCCCGGAGGGCCCCTGGGGCGGGGCAGGAAGCAGCTAGACCAAGCAGGGCTGGCTGCTTTCTGGCAAATCCAGAAATTAAAAACATCAAACTAGCAGCCTAGTGGTCGGATGATCCCCAGCTAGGAACATTAGGCCAGAAAAACACTTCCTCGGTGTTGGAAGGCACCTTTGGTTTCCCTGGGGCACCTCCTAATTTGCCTGCCATGTCTAGCTGAAGAGCACATACCACGTGCCTGGGTGCAGATGACCCACGCAGATAACTGAGCTCCCCATGGCTTCACAGCTGATCCATAAGACAGATAAGTTTCTTCATAATTACAAGTCCTACCCAAATTAACCCCTGGAATTTCCTGACTTGAGGGCCTAGGATAAAGGGAGAGTCTGGAAATAGGTTTTCGGAAATCAGAACCTGTGATCGCCTGTCTGTTGTGTCCCTTCCTGATGCCCCTCATGGCACCAAGCTGAGACACAGGTGACATCCTAGTTAGGAGCACAGATCCTCGAGCCAGATGACTAGGTTCGGATCCCAGAACTGCTTACAAGCCATGTTACTTAACTCCTCTGGGCTTCTACCTGCCCCTGTAAGGTGTGAGTAGTAAAGGACACATTGCATGGGGTGGTTAAGAGGCTAAATGATCAGAGCAGTGCATGGTGAGCAGTAGGTAAGTGACAGTGTCATCATCCAGGTCCCCAGAGGCCAGTTGATGGGGAGTATGTAGGACAGAGCTCCCTGACACTGAGAAGAGCACAGCCTGGTGACCTCGTTTCCTCATCCTCGAAGTGGGGAGAGAACCTATGAATCATTTCTTTGTCTCCCTCCCTGGTACTGAAGCTCCACCAGGGATGTGCTCCAGAAGTTACCAACAGTCTGCTTCTTTGAGACCCCAGATTCCCAGCAGCCCAGCTGCATGGGCCCCAGTGCCCACCCCCACGGGAACACACACACCAGTTCTTTGGGCTGCAGCGGCCATCCTGGGCTGGGCAGCACCCTGGCACAGACCCAGGCCGCACCCTCCAGCTGATGTGCTTTCCCTTCCTGCGAGCTTGGACCTGTCCTTGGCCCAGGCCTGGCCCATCCCAACCTGCCAGACAGGGAGGGTGATGAGACGCGAGGCCAGGAAAGGTGGGGAGAAGGAGGTCAGGATGCCTGTCGCACCCCAAAGGAGCCTGGAGTGGCAAATGGATAGAGGATGATCCCTGGGGAACACAGCCTCACGGGAGGCAGGGGCTCAGCAACAAGGCCTTGCTGCTGCTGTTGGTAAGGGGTAACCATGTGGAACTGGGCTTGCTATCCTGACAGTTCTACCTGATTGGCTCACCCCCTTCTCCTTTCTTCCTGCCCCTGGCAGATGCCCACTGTGTGTGTGCTTCGAAGATCACCCGACGGGGCCCCTGTGCAAGTCTTCGTCCCTGAGAATGGAGAGCTCATCAGCCAGGTGTAACTCCATGTTCCACGTGCCTCAGCCACTGCTGAAAAAGACTTTCACAGTGGGGCCAGGGCTGAGCCCCTCACCCTTCAAGTGCCTCCTTCAGCTCCCCCACTTCCATCGCAGGCCGATGATCTGGAGCTGAGACCTTTCTTGGTTTGGGGGGTTTTTTTAACAAGTTTTTTCAGACGTCCTGACCTGAGGATTTATATCTGTGATTTGTTCTCGAGCTCCCTGCAATATGATTACACCTTATCCCCAGAGTCTGGCCTCTTGGACTTAAGGCCTTGCCTGTCTGATTACAACATCTGTCTCCTTAGGCAAGACAGGTGGCAGAGAGGACCACCTCAGAGTTCCTCAAACCCTCTGTGCTCTGTTTCTGAGAAAGAACAGCTCTGGCACTGTGGAGGCTGGACATGGCCCACATTCAGGCGTGGGTGTCTCCATTTCCCAGGTCTCTGGGTACCACAGGCTGGGGCCGCTGTTCTTCCCCCTGTGTAATGTGCTCTATGATGCACACAAGGGTGGTTAAAGGTCAGTACATCCTGGTGAAGTCGTATCTTCCTGGACCCCATAAATCCCTTTTAGGGGTCCCAATCACTGTTTCTTCTTTATGCCTTGGGCTCCCAGGCCAGTGGAACACCAAATCATAGCCTCAGAGTCCTGGACTGGGTCTGGCTTGTGCTGTTGGTTGGTGGGGAACAGCTCAGCATTGGACCAGCACTGCTGGGCCTCACAAAGGCCGGGCAGCCTACCACTCCCACTGACATCTTTTCATCATCATCATAAAAACCAACAGCATACAAATATTTTTGGAAAGGCATCACTTTGGTGGCGTGTTGAGGGCTGATATTTGAGGACGATGATGAGAGTTGCTGCTCTCGTTCCCCACCCAGCCACACATGTGCTCTGAGCAGTCCTTATCTGTACACACATGGGCATGCTCCCTCCTGAGTCCTGACAAGATGCTGGGTTGTCTTAGAGGGCATTAATGATGCAACCCAGCACCCTGGAAGTGCTAAGCCACTTATAATCCCCGGGTTCTCATCCTAGGCCCTCCCTTGCTGCCAGGTCAGATGCCCAGGTAGCATCTTGCTTCAAAGAAGAAGCAACAGATGGCATAGGGAGTGCTGACTCCAGTTTTGCCCATGCAGAACTCTATCCTGTGAGTTCCCTGGACTGGAACAGAGACAGTGAATGTAGCGGAAGGCTCTGAGAACTGTGATGCCCAGCCGGAGGTGCCATGTCCCCCCCGCCACACACACACAGTGGCATAGCTGTTTGCAGAGGCTGCTGAGGGAAGAACCAGGGTGGTGTACAGGCATTGGGGAGGAGAGTGAGCCTCAGGAGACGGCGCTGGCTTTTCTCTCACTGCCCCTGCCACATCTAACAGTAGTCTCCACCGCGGGCCCTTTCTTCTCCGTTATGCTTGACCCGATACTGCGCTTTGTGGCTAGGTCCCTTTTGCTGTGTTCAGCGGCCCCCGCCCCCAGTGTCTTCCATGGAGGCCCAAGCTCTTAGGCCTGAGTGTCCTTAATATTAACTTATTCGTCCGACATAAGACACGAGAGTTGAAAGTGGCCCTGTCCTCAGCTGTAGGGCTGGGACTTGGGTCTTAGTGCCAAATACTTCAATAAAGTCTGTTCTTTGTGATTGGCCCAGCTCAGCATGAAGGGTGTTTTGTGCCAAGCATTCTGAGCAGTGTCCATGACCGGTCCCTCAGGTGTCCGCCCAAAGTAGCCAAGTTGCCTGGCCTCTCCAGCTGGTCTGCCCAGGTCCCCAGGTGCAGGCGGGATGGGTGGAGTGGCTGAAGGAGGTGCTCGGTCTGCTTCCCTGATGGGAGGGAAGCCAACACACTGAAGGGCCCCTGGAGCTGGGCTCTGCAAGTCACTTCCTGAAGGACGGCTTTGTGGCATTCCCAGCCCTGGCTTCAGCTGGGGCTGGCTAGGCAGTGGTTAGGAGCTGCATGGCTGAGTGGCTCCAGCTCTTCCAAGCTCTTTCTGGAGATCTTGGCTACCTGGAGTGAAGGCTCATGAGAAACAACCCCTTCCCCATGGCTTGAAGACAGACTTTCCTTGGAGAGTGAGGAGTGGCTCCTCACAAGCCCCTGCCAGGTCCCTTCCCTCAACCAGTGGAGCACCAACTGGGACCATTTCTCTGGTTGCCCAGTAGGGGGCGTTCAGCGCCAGGGACCACAGCGCCCCCTAGAGCCACAGTGCCAGGAGAAGCCGGTAGCCTGGATCTGAGGAGCCCAGTGTGTCAGGTCAAGGGGTCCCTGTCTGCCTGTTGCCCTCCACAGCCAAGGAAGGGGCAGGGAATGAGGGGTCTGGATGGATGACAGCTTGCAGGCGTGACTCCAGCCCTGCCCTGCGTCTTTGGCCCTGAGGACTGCAGAAATCTGTGGGCCTCAGGAGCCCAGCTCCCGTAGGCCTCAGGGGCCCAGCTCCCGTAGGCCTCAGGGCACTCTGTGCTAGGCATTGGTGGCCTGGGAAGGGAGATAGCTCCAAGGTCTCTGAAGCTACGGGCATCTTGATCTCAGACCTAGACATCTTCGACTTAACTGGATTGTGGTGAGTTGGGGATTGAGTCCAGGCCCTCACCCATACTAAGCAAGCACTATACCACTGACTACCCCTGCCCCCACCCCGGTCCCCCAGGCCTTGATTTTGTATTTTAGACAATTGTGGTGGGTTAGGGCCAGGGAAATCCTGATGGAGTATTCCAGGGGAATAAACTGCAAGTTCCAGGGGATGAGCTGTCTGAGGACTCATCTTCCAGCAACAGGACAGAAGTCAGCTAAAAGGAGGGAGAGGCAGAAAGAGGAGAGAGCCCCACAACAAGGCTCTGAGAGCAGAGTAGCCTCCAGACATGCCAGTTTGGGGACTGATTGGGTAACAGTTTCTTCCTGATCCACAGTCAGGTTTCCCTGGGCTGTGCCTGACAGGTACAGATGTGGGATCTCCTAGCTCCCCCGCCATAGGCAGAAGTGGGATCATGAATTGGGGGTAGAGGAGCCTTTGGGAAAAGGGCTTCAGGACTTTAGCTTAAGATCCCAGAGGCAGAGGCGTGGAGACTGCCTGAATCTGAGACCTCCCACTCAGGGAGACACCCGAAAGGGAGACTCCGGGCAGGTCCAGTGCCTGTGTCTTCACATAGGGGACGATGGAAAGCTGACAGAGCCTTTTCTTGTAAATGGCCAGGGTCGCCTCCTGCAGTTTCACCTTCGAAGGCAGAAGCAACACCCCCAGAAAGGCTGTCTCCCGCCAGGCCTGGCTACTGTTTTCCTCGAAAGCTCCAGGCTCCCACCCTACGTGTGCAGATGAAGCCACATCCTCACAGGCAAAAGCCAAACACAGTAACCTTTCAGCTGCCAACCTATCATGACTTTTGGAATCCAAACTTACGGGGTGAGCAATTGGGCCTGGACAGGGCTGTCCTCAACTCACGGCAGCAGCTCAGAAGCGGTGCTGCTGGCCTGGCCCTAGCTCAGGAGGTTGTGGAATGAGCATGGGTCTGCGAACAATCCCCTAATGAGATCTGCCATCCAGATCCACAGTCCCTGAATCCCAGGTCCTTCCATCCAGCTGCCTATTGCCATTAGCACCTGGGTGCCCAGCAGGCATCTCAAAGTTAGCACGTTCTTAACAGAGCCCTTGCTTTTACTACCAGCCTCAGGCAGTAAATGGCAACTCAATCATTGTAAAATTTTTCAGGCCAAAACTCTTGACTTGTTTTTGGTACTAGGGATCAATCACAAGACTGCTGCCCTGGCCTGCATCCCCAGCCTTTTTGTTTTGTTTTGTTTTTGTTTTAAATATTGAGACAGGGTTTTGCTAAGTCACTATTTGGCCCAGGCTGGGCTTGAACTTGCTATCCTGCTTCAGCTCCCAGAGTGCACCACCACACCCAGATTTTTTTTTTCAGTACTGGGACTTAAACCCAGAGCCCTGTGCATGTTAGGCAAGTGCTCTGCCACTACATTTTAAGCCCTTTTTATTTGATCTTGAGACAGGAGCTTTGTAAGTTGCCCAGGCTAGCTTCAAACTTGGGATCTTCCTGCCTCAGCCTGCTGTGTAGCTGGGATTGCAGGCATGTGCCGCTACATCTGACTACTGTCTCTGCTCTTCACATCTAGGTTATCAGCTATTCCTACTGATTTTCAGAATAGGTACAGAATCTTCCCACTTCCTACTAACTACCTACCCTCCCCTGGATTACTGTTGTAGCCTCCCAGTTGGTCTCCTTGGGAGAATTTAATTTGCTCAAGATCACCCCTTCCATGATCATTTCATTAAACTTCACAATAGATAGTGTCATCTTCTCCACTGCACAGATGCAGAAACTAAAGTCGACAGTGTTTAATTTGCTGGCGGTCGCAGGGCTAATGAAGTAGAAGAGCTGAGCTTTGATGCAGAGCAGTTGGGTACCAGGATGGTTGTGTTTAACTTGTATGCTTCAGCTTGAAGGCCCATCCTGGGAGCACTGTGTTTGCAAGGCAGCATGAAAGGGCGGCAGCAGCCTGAGCTTGGGCCATTGCCTATGTCAGTCCGAGCCCCAGCACTGCCCCTATTCCATCCTCTTGCTGTATCTCCTCTTGGCTGCATGGGCTGGACAGGCTCTTTCCCTAGCCTCCTGTGTGCCTTCACTTGCTGCTCCAGAGACACCCCGAGGGCTATGCTGCCACCACCCCTTGCACCCTGTCCCCCCACACCTCCCCTGCTGACAAGGGAGGCTCCAGGGCTGATTTAGAGTTTCGAGTTCATTCAGTACCAGAAATTTTAAAGCCAGTCTGCGACCACACCCTACATCAGTGGCCACAGAGAGTGGCATAAGCTTTCTCTTTTCACAGTTGTTTTTCCTCCCTGGCCACATCTGGTCTGGTGCAGAAAATCTTTTAATTAAGTCCCCACCTGGATGCCTTCCACTTTGGCTTCCAGGGTTCACAGAGTGGGGCTGCGAGTGGCCACACCTGAAGAAGCTGGACCTGGGGACCCAGACACCCACACCAGAGCCCTGGGGTTTCACAGCCATCTTAGTGGAGGGCCAGTGGGGGGTGGCTTTGCCTCCCTAGCTCATCTAATAGAATCAGCTAAACTCCTCCCTATGTCATCCCTTTCCAGGCTTGCACCAATCAGAAAGAGAAGCCTATCAGTTAATTGTGGAGTTTATAGAACAAGAACAGATGGTAAGGAAATTCCCTGGAACTCTTCAAGAACTGAGGAGGAAAACAATGAGCGTTTAAGCTTCTGTAGGGTTTGAAGGCTAGGCCTGGTGTGGAAGCCAGCTGAAGTTCCGCCTGCTGCTGCCTCTTGATCTGGGGCAATCTTGAGAGAGTGGCTGGGGTTCAGGTCTCATAGCTGCTTCCTGTATGAAGGGTCTTCCTCATCTACCCCTACTCCTACTGGCCCTAGAGGATAATAGAGGGGCCCAGGACATTGGTGAGCACCCACTGAGGGTGGGACACTGCTGAGAAAACCAGCTGTGCATGTTAGGCAAGTGCTCTCCACCACTGAGCTACATTTTAAGCCCTTTTTATTCAGATGCTCTGATTCTGGGCTGGGTGTGAGGGGCAGAGTGTGGGGTGCAGGTCTCGGGTACTGCTCAGCTGTAAAGGAAGGGCTGGATGGAATTTATAGGCAGGACTCGCTGTCTTCTGTTCTAGTCCACAGCGGACAAGCAGAATTTCCTCAGGGCTGTGGAAGTCCTCAGTGGTGCTGTGCACGCCGAGGGAAATGGCAATATGAACGATTATTATCCCAAAGCCACCCTGGCCAAGAAAATTGAGGTGAGGAAGACCCAAGTTCTTCTAGGAATTAGTCATCCAGGGATAAGGGTGACAGTCCCAGGAAGACCCACAGGGGAGGGGCTCTCAGAGGGGAATTGTAGATTCTTCCTGTTCCTTCCAGACACTGATCCTGGAAGAATCCACCGAGATCTTGGACAGCAGCGTGCGTCAGCAGGCCATGCTCTGCGTCGTGGCTCTAAGGTTCCTTTCCTCCCGTGACCCTTACATAGCTCCTGGGGCTGAGAAGAAGGACATGGCGTGGAACTTGAGTTTGGGCTGTGGGTGGCAGAGATCCATCATTGCTGCTTCATTTGCCCTTGTCCTGGGATGGTAGGGCTGTTCTCCAATTTCACTACAAAAGGCTGGGCTGGAGAAGCCTCCTCGACAACCAGGGCCCCCTGCCCTGCCAAGGGACCATTGGAAAGGGACCCCAGCTTCCTGTACCTCAGTGAGAGTAGCAGAGCAAGCTCCCTCAGAGGGTCCCAGATACATCACCCAGCCTCTCACTGGACTCCCAAAGTCCTTTTCATTCCCCGCCTCTCCCTAGCCAGGTGAATCCACCATTCCACCTCTCTGAGATCCTGGACCTGGTCAGTGCAGGCATCTCCAGCGTGTTCTCTCTGCCACTCATCATGCCCAGTCTCGATAGAAGGGAGAGTGCTAGTCTCTACCTCCAGGTAATCCCTACCATTGCCTCTTGCTGGGAATGTGCATGGGAGAGGCTTTGTTTTGGGGGCCACTTCCTGTCCTCTTAGCCCCTGGCCTTCCTCCTCCTCTGACTCCTCCTCCAGGATCTTATGGCACCATAGTCCTCATGCTGCTCAGAGCAATGCTGGGCTGCCCTGTCTTCACCTGTCCCCTCAGGGAATG